TCTCTCTCTCTCTCTCTCTCTCTATCTCTTTTGTTTTGTATCTCTCCTTCTCTCTACTCCCATCTCTCTCTCTCTCTCTCTCTCTCTCTCTCTATTTTGTGTTCTTTCTCTCTCTCTCTCTCCCTCTCTCCTTCTCCTCACTCTCCCCTCTATCACTCTCTTCGCTCCCTTACCCTTCTCTCCCCCACTCTTTTCCTTCTTTGTTTCCCCCTCTCTCTCTCTCCCTCTCTCTTTCTTGCTCACTTGATATTAAGAATTATATGAAGTGACACGGAGGTGACTTTGATCACATTGTGAAAAGCGTTTATTTTCAAATAAGAAGATATGTTTTCGTTGTTTTACAACTTTACGTTTGCAGAGTAACATAATAGAAGAAAAGCAATGTTCTTTATGAAACCAGGGAGATGTAATTTTATCAGAAAATTAATGCAGTAATGAAACAAGGCATTGGCGAAAAGCGTAAAAGCGACTAACGCGTCTAGGAAGCTACTTAATTCAATTCAATTCAATTCAATTTAAGTCCATTTTATTTCTGTTTCCAACAAAACATTACAAATCGAAAGTAATCATTCACCATAATGAATATTTAGGAAAACAGACCGTTCGTTAAAAATCGATTTAAAGAAATCAGAAAATATACGAATTTTAATAATTCAAGCTATCTGAAAGTAAAATCGGCTTAATTATCACATAATCTTCAAAAATTCAGAAAATCAGAAAATCACGACAGTAGTGATAAAACATGTTATAAATGATTAACAGTACAGTATAGAATAATAGGACAAAGTATGCAAATAAGAACATAAAGAGCTACCTTTTAATGTGTCAAAAATATTCAATAATAAATCATCATAATCAAATAATTGCAAAAAATGAAGGCATCAGTGAAAAAATACATGTTTTGTTTGCTACGTAATTGTGGACAGTTGAAAACAATAATCCTTGTTAATTTTTAAAAAACTAGAAAATTATTAAAATATTTTTTACGAGATACAATCATAATATACCAATTTCACACAAAAAATAAAACATATGATGAAAACATAATATGCTTTGCAAATTTCATGATATCAGACAGTTTATATTGAAAGGATCAAAGAATCAGCAAACATTTAAAGGCACTGAATCCAATGACCGGGGTAATAGAATATTTGTAAAGCGCTAAGAGATATTGGTATTTAGCGCTATATAAAATTAAATATTATTATTTTTATTAAAGTTCTGTCTCCTCTTAATGGACCGCTACACATGTAAACACTGCGAACATTGTGTTTTATTAAAAAAAAACATGTATTATTCTTACCTGGTTACAATTCTATCATATCCTGAGTTCAAGAGGTCATCTTTTTAGGTATTAAAAGCAAAGTATGCAGTGAAATAGAGAATCATTTGATTAAAAGTATCAATGGTACAAATACATACTGACTATGCTCTCCTAAGCTATACATATACAGACTGAGTATGCTCTCCCCATTCATGAAGCGAAAATCCATTCATGTAGACGGTGCAGTTGTATCGGTCCTGTATAAACAAAGCAAACAAAGCAAAAATGAAATCACAGGGTCATAGTAACGAATGTCCTTCTGTGATCCTATATAATAAATATAGAAAATTTCACTCCACTTTTTAAAATTAAAATTCACCAGCATGCACTTGAATTTCGTTCTGAGAATCCGGAAAAGTACAAGTGCCAAATTCAATATAGACATTTGTCTTTCAAATTGGCCAATGGTCATTCAGTATCAACGGTTGTCCTTTCAGGTTCGTCAGATTTTGTTTCAAATTCGTCTTACCTGACCGTCTACTGCAGAATGTAATGATAAAATTCGTCTTTGAGCAATCAATTTCAAGAGGGATTCATTCAAATTTGTTGCTAAGACAAGCAATTGAACTAGAATTATCCTTAGGGCAAAGTAGACACACTTTTCATGATATGGCTTCTCGTTTAAAGAAGTTGAATAAAGATATATGTGTATATGACAAAAGTAAAGTCCACATTTTTAATTGCCTGGTGTACAGGTCAATCAATCTTATTTCAAATTTCAAGACGAGAAATCGTCGATTTTTTTTTAAAGCCTAATTTACTTTCTTGCATGTGAAAATATAAATTTCTTGAATAGGTGGCTTGGTGCCCCCACTAGACGTCGTTGATAAAATAAATTTGTATTGTTGCTCATTCATAAACATAATAGAAGCTGGAGCAATCAATGCAGATAACCCCAAAAATGATGAATAGAATTAATAAAGAGATAAAGAAATCGATTGAATGATTCTGATGGTGACGAAAATGAAAATTCATAGATATAATGTACGTTGTTAGCAAAATAGAGAAAGCAAATGATTGTTTCAGGTACAAATTGAAGAGACAAAGCAAAACTTAATTTAATATCCAATGACGCTTTAACGAAATTGATTGCTAAATGACGAAACTTGTTTATTTAATTCTACGTTCGCAGCCGGGAATCATCAATTTGTTATGAATTTGACGAATTTGGATGCAAAATGATGAAATTGAAAAGACAAAGTTGGAAATTGAGTGACTAATTGAAGGAAACGTTTTAAATGGACTGGAAAACATATATACAATTAAAATTATTCATTTATTAGTTATTTATCAAATAGGGGACATATCCCGTTATGGAAAGGGATATATTTCTGATATCAAAAGAAATGTATCCCATTAGAAGAATGACTATCTGTGCCTGCAGAATTGTCAACTGGTGGTCGCAATCCCACTCCTAGCTACAATGATTTTGTGATGGTGATATAGCAGAGGTACCGGTCTAGGCCTGCATATTGGTAAAGGTTACCTCGGAGGGATCGAGTTACTTTGATCTTGGCAAATAATAGAGTTTTTTTTTTTTGTAATAAGCTGTGTACGTTGTCAAAATTATATCAACGAAATGTCATTGGTGTTGAAGCTTACCTGTTTTTTGCTTTTTATCTATCTGTAAGCCCCAATTTCCACAATCTGCGACGATGTAATCTGCGTGGCTATAATCGTCGATCTCAAGTTCCAAGTCGGATTCCTCGCTTTTAGGCCACCTAACCTTTATTCTTATTGGTGTGGCATTCTTTACTTTAAACCTCCGTGTTGCTTCTGACTGGATTGTCGCTTCTTCACCATCAACGGTTACGACTACGGGCTTAGAAGCCTGATTAGTGATGTCTGTCCAGCGGTTATTTGTAATGATGACAGCTGTGGTACTAGCGGCAGCCCCAGCAACTGCTCCTACAATAGCCGCTCCTATAAGTAGCGCCATATTTACTTGTCAGTTGCAAAATATTACGACAATGTTAAGAAAATATCTATTGAGATTTTTGTTTGGAGCAAAGAATAAAAAGCTATATCCTACTTCCAAAAACAAACAGTTCGAACGACGTTAACCTTCCCAATAGTTGTATTGGCTAACCTAAATGAGCAGCACCTTGAGCCTTGACAAGCACTGTCAGGGGCGGATCTACGGGGGTAGGGTGTTTACCCCCCCCCCCCTTCCCCTCCCCCTTGGGCTGCCAAGTAGAAATGTGATGTGTATAGAAAAACGCCATCATTGTGATCAGACCCACACAGTATAGATGCCAAGAAAACATCACTAATATGAGGGTTCAAAAAAGAAAAACAAATCGAGACTGAAAAAGGGGTTAAAAAACACTTCACTAAATCACGACACCTCTATAAATATATATAGTTCAGATATCTTCAAACACAGATTATTATGTTTATCTCTTTTATTTCTCCCTTTCGACCTTTACCCTGCATGGTTCTTATCGCCATGTAGCGTGAAGATTTTTCATGGCAAGTGCATGCTCATTTATTTGACTTTATCAAATATTTACTCCACTCTAGTGGTTCATTATCTAATTTTTCTGGTAATTGATAGTTTACTTAGTTACATCACTAGGAAATTTAACAGTGGTTAGACAACTGCATACATCAATTTGATTTGTAAAATAGATCAAATCGAATAATTAATACAGTATCTTCACATTAAACTCCCGACATGGGTTTTTGTCCTCATATATTTGTTTTTCCGCTCCCAATAACTTTGTAGAGAGCAATATGGCGGTATATGAGTACTTCATAGGTGCATAAAGCATGTAAGGGGTGTGTGCTCAATGAGGATAAGAAAACGGTGCCTATTTTTGAGATGATTTGATTCGCCAGCCCTCCTACATGTCCGTTTGGGGTATAGAAAGCAATTTTATTGAACATTTCAAACGATCAAATTACCAGAAGCGGCGAAAATGCTAATGAATCTAAAATCCTTTCATATATTTTTATTCGGCAATTTCAAATGTTCTCTGCCCCCTTCTCTCTTTCTCTCTTTCTCTCTCTCTCTCTCTCTCTCTCTCTGTCTCCCTTTGTCTGTATGTCTGTATGTCTGTCTCTCTCTCGCTCTTATAATCTCTCTCCCGATCTCTCTGTCCTTCTCCCTCTATCTCTCTGACTCTCCACACAACGTAATTTCGTTTATTTTAATCGGAAGTGTACTTATGAGTGAAGTAAATACAACAAGATAACTGTATTATACCAATACCTTATTTTTTCCAAGACAAATTTTATCTACTAGGCTATATAAATGAATTAAGATGTAGAATAAACATTCAGAGGATAAACACATCATTAAAGCTGAATCAAACACAACAAATAAAAAACATTGATTTGTGATTGCACTGGCCCGGTTTATTTTCATACAACATATTGAACAGGCAGCTCAAAAGAACTCATTAAATGCGCTTTTTATCACATGCAATTTATTGAAAGTGTCCCAGGTAATATTTGTTTCTTCAATAATGATCACAAGCAATACTATAAGGTGTCAAAAGGGAGGATTCTATATTTTATTCCTCGCCCACGCAGATTTTAGGTTGTTTAAAGGGAGTGTAGCCTGACGAGACTACGTGTCTTTCCAGTGGCCTGACTCGGGGCAAATCAGATACGGCTACGGACGACGCGACCGCAGCAATTACGTGCATGCAACATACGCGAAACCGAAGCTTGAGGAGAACTTCGGTCTGTTTCGCGAACGCTGACCATGTAGAGATTTAGTCGCTGTCCATTCGTTTACATGCAGTTCTCCAGAAGAAGACGCAGATGGCGTTAACCAGAATTTGCTAAGCTGCAATCCCTTTAAAAGTCAGAAAATATTAATGTTTGGCGGTCACTATGAACGATTAGGGTGTCTTGTGATGTGCATATTTAGGTGTTAAATCTCGAACCCTGTACCCAATTAACGTTTCCTCTATGCACTGTCGACTTTAACGCATCAGTTTTTGAAGAGCCTTGCCACCGGCGGCAACGACACCACCTCCGAGGCTCATGACAGCTGTAGTAGCCCAAGAGAGTCCAGCGGCACCAATGGACTGACACACCGCCACTAAGCTGCCCCCAGCCACTCCTCCGCCTCCTGCTACTGCGGCTGAAGACATCATCCCTGCGGCGTAGGAACCCCCAACGATGCCTGCACCAGTGAAGCCCAAAAAGCCGAGGACTGTCGGTATGCCTAAGGCGGTAGCACCGGCACCCAAAACACCGACGACTATAGTTTTCAGCAAACCGGTCGCCTCAGCACCTTGTCTGAGGGACAATGATTATAATAATCATAATACATGTAATTGATTATAAATATAATAAGAAGAATGAGACTGATGATGATACGGATAATGATAATAATAGGCCTAATAATAATAATTATAATGATGATGATGTCTATGATGATGATGATAATAACATCATATTAAAAATACTTGTAATAATAATGATAGTATTAAATATAAACATAAACATACCATACTATATACTACTTCTTCTACTACTACTACTACTACTACTACTACTACTACTTCTTATATATATACTGCTGCTACTACTACTTCTAATGATAATAATAATCATTATAATAGTAATATTGATAAGTTTAATAATATTAATGGTAATAATATTAATGATAATAATTGACTAATAACAGAGCGCTGATACAACATTTCTACGCCCGGCGAAAAAAATCTTGGGCTGGGCGTACGTAATCGTTCAAAACGCCATCATCGGCTTGTAGCAAGTGTAGGGAATTTACAGAGATAACTATAAGAACCGGCCAAATTCTGGACTAAACTTAATACTGCTGAATCATAGCGCCCAGTGGCGGATCCAGGGGGGGGGGGCACAGAGGGCACGTGCCCCCGGCCCCCAAAAATATGTTAAAATTAGCCCTAAATTCGCCCAAAATGTACTGAAAATCAGGGACGTGCCCCCCCCCCCCCCCGGCCAAAAAAAATTATTTAAAAAAATAAAATAAAAAATAAATAAATTAAAAATATGACAATGGTTGACCCCCCCCCCCCCCTCCAACGGAGCAAATTTGAAAATTTAAAAATTTCGTGACCAAAATTTTGTTTAAAAAAAAATGTCCTCTTACCCCCCCCCCCCCCCCCCCCCGCTTATTTAGCGGCTGGCTGAGTCGTTGTGATATATATATGTGTGCCCCCTCCCCCCCCCCGTGTGTCCCCCCCCCCCCCTGGCAAGAAATTTCTGGATCCGCGCCCTGGCCCCCCCCCCCCCCCCCCCCCGTCTAAAAAAAACAAACATTATTTCTCACTCATTATGCACATTCATTGAACGTAACGTACCCATATTACTCCGAAATTGTATAAGATATATAACAATGATAAAAACAAATTACTTACACTGTGACCAGAAGAAAGAAACAAATGGTTGTCAAGAAATAATTGTTCATGATGCTTTTCATTTCTCCACGTTATAAATCTGCCCAAAACAAAACAAGACAAAAGACAGGAATTCAACGAGACATTATTCTCAGTTAGTACTGATAATAAACAGCTTGGATTTCATGGTTCCAGTCTAAAAAATTATTTGTGGCTTATAATTCAATTCACTTCAATAATGATTTTATTGACAACGCTTTGAATTGCTTTCAGTTGAAAGCCTGGAGTGAGCATGTTTACCACAATTTCTCAATATCGTTTCATCGTACTGTACCATTCAAAATTGCAATAAATCAAATGTTGAATTATATTTACTTGGGAATACACTGTTCGTAAATGTATTTTTTTTTAATCCATTATTTTGTTTATTACGTGAATGCAAAATATTAAAAAACAATTACTCCCTGGGAACTCCCTGCTATTAGAATCGGGATTAGTATTATGTTAGTTGAGAGAGAGTGTATATGAAATAATAATGTAAGATGCAAGATTTTGTGACTGGATTGATTGCATTTGCTCACCTTTCACGTGTTCCTGATGATAAAATCTTACATTTTATATTTATTTCTTGACCTATTTTAATTAAAGTTCTTTTTATAAGAAAGCAGAACAGTCCACTAGCGAACTCCGCAGCCACTGTGGATGTTTGTCGGGTGTGGGAAGGGATTATTTCTGACAGTGGCGGATCCAGCCGGCGGAAAGAGGGGGGGGGCAATCTGTGAGATAATGTTTAGTTGCGACTCAGCCAGCCGGTGAATAAGGGGGGGGGGGGTAGAGGCACTTTTTTGTGGGGGTCCAATTGTTCATGAAATATTTTGCGCCGACTCAGCCAGCCGGTGATTAAGCGGGGGGGGGGGGGATAAGAGCATTATTATTATTATTATTATTTGGGGGGGCGTCGACCCCCCCCCCCCCCCCCCCAATGGATCCGCGTCTGATTTCGGACGCATTTTAGGTTTTGTTTACCTGCCTCTCCACGCAGGGGTATGGGTGCCAGTCAAAGCTAGGTGATATCAATAGCATATGTTACATTGTCACCTAGCCCTCAAAGCTAGCATAGTCAATCGTACGTAACGTATTATTTTGTGAACAGGGTTTCAAGTTAAAAAAGAAAAGAGAAACAGTTCGCTTTCTGATTTCAAATTCAGTCAATGGTTTGCTAACATTACATTTTCACCGATAATATCAACTTTTTATTACATCATAAAAATTGAATTAAAATCGAAATATAGTCGAATTTAAAAAAAAAGGTACTTACTTCCGCACAGTTCACAACAAACGTCGCATATTTTCGTTGCAGGCAGCGCAGACGACAACCACAACGCAGGTCATATAACTTAGGCTCGATCAGTGTAATACAGGTAATAAAATCGATCGCATGTTGATTTTTATAATAATTTTATAAGACAGACACTTGCGATGGAAATTTGATATTATTATCAATATCAAGTTTGAGAAGACGGGGCCCTGTTCTGTTGAATAATATAATTGCTGAATATATTAGTCTATGCCAATTTACAGATTTTTATAACCCTTAAAGATCCCGTCCAAAGTCCAAGGAGATTCGAGGCAGACTCCTTGGATTGACAGATAATTAAAGCTAGATAACAGCGGTTAAAGAGATATCTTCATAATGTCTAGCAATAACGTTTAGCAATAACGTGATATTGATAGAGCAATGCAGGTAGTTTAGTCTTTATCTCGCATACTCCTTTAGGAAATAATAGTTCTGAACGCGAAAAAAAGAAGAGAATCGATGCAACTTTTGGGGTCAGAATTGATACATTAATGCTGTAAAGTGCTTTTACAAAACAGATATAACTTCTTCTTTTTTACAATTCATTGATACTTCACAACTGCACCACACTATGTGCACAATAAACAAGTCAAATTATTGAACGCTTCTATATTGCAGACTATATAGAAAAAATGAAAAGTTCGGATTCCCACAGACGGCGGGGAAACCCATACTTGCATAGGTAGGCCTATACGTGGATAGGAATCCCAATGAGATGCACGTTTGGTGAGGAGATAGATGACGTCATTATACCAAATTGCAGACGAGGGAGAGAGTATTTTGTAAATATTCAGTGTTTCCACTCTCCCTGATATTCAGGAAATTTCAGGAAATTAGGATTTTGTCAAAGAAATTTTCAGGAAAATGTATCGTGATGAGTGGAATACCTCAGATTCAGTGGAGAATGCGAGGAAAATCAAGATTGTGAAGTCGTTGGCCTGCACTTTTCATGTAATAATGATTGTATAAGGAGAATCATCTCTCACTTTCTCTCTCTCCCTCTCTCTCTCTCTCTCTCTCTCTCTCTCTTTCATCTTTCTCTCTTTCCTCTCCACCCCTCCCCTTTTTCTCTCCCTCCCTCACTCCTCTCTCCCTCCCTCTCTCAATCTCTCCCCCCTCTCTCTCTCTCTCTCTCCCTCTCTCTCCCTCTCTCTCTCTCCCTCTCTTTCTCTCTCTCTGTCTCTCGCTCTCTCTCTCTCTGTCTCTCTTACTCCCTTGCTCTCCCCCCCCCCTCTCTCTCTCTCTCTCTCTGACTCTTCACACAACGTAATTTTCGTATGTTTTAATCGGAAGCGTATACTGAGTGAGTGAAGAAAACTCTGTATGCTAACAAAGCCTTATAAGGCCTTTCCAAGACTAAACGTTTATCTACTAGTTAAATGGATTCAGATGTAGAATAAAAATTCAGAGGATAAACACATTAAAGCTAAATTTAAACCAATAAATAAAAACATTAATTTTGTTATTGCATTGTACTTGTTTATTTTGATACAACACCTTGAACATGCAGCTCAAAAGAACTCCTTAAATACCCCTCAACCCCCCCCCCCCCCGGAAAACTATCCCCCAAGGACAATAACCGCCGGAAAATTACCCCCCACAAAATAACACGCCAAGGACAACAACCCCCGGAGGACAATTACCCCCGGTAAATTACCCCTATGACAATTACCCCCCCCCCCCCCCCCCCCCCCACTGTATATAGTAAAGGGGAAGTCTACCCTGGTAATAAGTAGGGTGGTCTTATTTCTTGGGGGTAATTTTCCTGCTGGTAATGGACCGGAAGAGCTTGTCTGGGCGTACCATTGATGTTTACGGATTCGTGGATCACGCCATCTTCGGCTTGTAGCAGGTAGGGTATAGGGGGTGGAGTTGCGAAATAAAAGTAATAACATCGTCCAGATTCCTGCATGATTAGGTTCATTTTGGTCTCAATATAAAGTGGAGCAAATTTGTGAGGGAAAAAAGAAGAAAAATACAAATGAAGATGGTCAATGTGAGTGATTTTTTTTGTTAGGGGGGGGGGAGGGGCTATTTTCAAGAAAGCAATACAATTTTTATAATTGTTACGATGTAATACAATTATTTATTATTCATTGATCATTTGACTCTATTTTGCCTACATAGTAAAATATAGTTCGCATTTTGATTTGAGGTTAACCGCGAAATCATTCAAGCAACGGGATGGAGGAGCGCAAATAAGACTATTTTCGTAATGTAACAAAATCTAATGCTTACGTCTTTGTGAAGTGCCTCTGTACAAAATATATTTCCTTAACCTGTAATGAATAATTGCATTCACCTGTAATGATTGCATTTTAATATAAGAATGCAAAATGAACAGCCCTTTAACAGTGCGTCCCAGAAAAAACGAAACCGATAATTATCGATGTTTTATCATAGCTTAATCACAATTATAATTAATAAATGACACATATTTGTAACGCTTAGATCCTCCTCTTTCATTTGATCCAACTCAATAGGATGCATATTTCACGCATGAGTGATTAAAAACAATCTTAAGAGAGAATACCAAAAAGTCATTTGGCGGGCTGTATCTGAATTTCAAAGAGAAAATCGCATTTCTAGAAAATTCATTTTCTGCCCTTTCATATGACATCTCAACCAGGAAAAATGAGCCAGGAATAACAACGTTCTGTTTGTTTAAAGTGATGCTTGCATTTCCATAATTTGATTAAACGAATTTGTTTTCACTGGCTGCCTGCCGTAGCAATACACAGAGTTGACAAAAGATTTAACTCCGTTTCCTTGACGAACAGCCATGCACAAAATTAAGTCTTTTGTCAACTCTGTTTATTGCTACGGCAGGCAGCCAGCTAGAAAACGAATTCGTTTTATCAAATTATGGAAATGCGGGGGAAATACAAGCATCACTTTAAACAAACAGAACTTTGTTATTCCTGGCTCATTTTTCCTGATTGAGGTGTCATAAAGGGCAGAAAATGAATTTTCTAGAAATGTGATTTTCTCTTTGATATTCAGATATCGTTCGCCAAATGACTTGTTGGTATCCTCTCTTAAGATTGTTTTTAATCACTCATGCGTGAACTATGTATCATATGAGTTGCATCAATAGAAAGAAGAGGATCTAAGCTTTACAAATATGTGTCATTTATCAATTTTAATTGTGATTAAGTTATGATAAAATATCGATAGTTCTCGGTCTTGTTTTTTTTTCTGGGACGCAATGTATATTACGTGTTGTTAGATGAGGCAAGCCGTAATGTTTGTCCTACCTGGCAACAACTAATGCATGCAGTTCACATGCTGACTATTGAATTACAATTATTGGTAACAGATGAATGAAATTATTCATAACGAGGTATTTCACACAGATGTATGCATTAGATTGCTTAATGGCAAGCTTTGGGTTCACCAGTGTAGTCACTGTATACAGAAGCACAGAAATGGCCACTTTTGAAATACAGGTGTACAAACAAGTGCATATTGCCTCGTTACATATTTTCATTGACCTATGATGAATATAAGTACAAACACAAAGCCAACTTCGTTACGTAACCAAATGTAATGCATACGTCTTTGTGAAGTGCCTCAATATATTCATCCACCAGCATTAGTGAATAATTGTATTTCAATAGTCAGAATGCAAATTACGTGCATTGTGTGTCGTTAGGTATACATGTATATTTGTCCGACCTAGCAACTTTGTAATTCGCATTCTGACTATTGGGAGATGAATGCATAGCTCATCGCTAGGTCAACGTTAAGTTAAATACATTTTGAAAATGGTTTATTCTGAATAAATGAAGGCGACCGTGCAGCTATTATGCATAATATGCATATTGCATAGAGCAGTTGTTGAGGGATCAGGACCTGTAGTAGACAGTTATTATGGGGGGGGGTAATGTTTGCACAAAGTCTATAAGAGAGTCTTGGGTTAGATCGATCATTCCTAAAAAGGGTGTGTTTGTGTTGGAGTATATTAAAGCTGCATGGAGCCGACAGCTAAGGTGGTAGGCCGTACCTGATTCGGGACCCGATTGCGCTTCTGGCCACTCCTCAATATATTTATGAATATTATATATCCTATTGGTTTGAAAAGCCGTATTATTTTAATTTAATTTTCCCAACATTATTTTGAAATGTCTTGAAGTTGTTTTCCTCTCTTGAAATGACTCTACAGCCCTAGTCTAAGCTTTTCCTCTAGGAATATTGAAAGTGATTGTCCTTCCAGACAAGGAGAAAATGCCTCTATACTCGGCAAAATAAATATAGGGATATTAATACTTTTTTTGAATACGCCCGTAGTCGCTAGGTCAGGAAGGTTCTTATAACCCCTTTTGTAATCCTGCAGAGCATCAAAAATGTTCTTTATTGAAAAAGAGGGATGAACCAATTCGCTTTTGATAATGTAATGAATGTGGTCTCTTTTAATGTCCTTGGTGCTGTATATGCATACTGATTATTTAGATAACAGCCAGAAAAAATACAACGATCTGTATACCCCGATTGCGTATTATTAGTTCTAACTCTCACTTTCTGTTTGGTATTCTGAATAGTAGCTAGCCCTACGTGGAGGCCATTTTCAGCACTGCCCTTAAAATAAAAAAAATAAACATATTGGGTGGTATTCTCATAAGTTAAGCAGGGACTAAGTCCAGACTAAACAAGAATTTTAGTTCACACTTCTATGGAATGCTAGGTTTCACCTCCCTCCTTCAATATTCATGATAAAGATAATCTACCAAAGACTTTGTTGAAATTCACTTCATACTCATAATATCTTTTTCATCCCATTTCATTGCAAAATTAATTTTTTGGACACTTTTCATTGAAGGATTAAAATAATCTGTACAGGGTAAATTAGTTTGCAACAGGCAATCCATAAAAGTATGAACTAACTAAGTATGCGCTAACTACGCGCTACCGGAATACCACCCATTTTATTTTATTTATTTAATTTCCAGGTACATGTACTACAAAATAGAAATGCCAACACAGAGCATGTATAACATGAAAGAATTACAAAACAGTGAAAATGCCACCAGCGGACGCCTGAGGATTATCTAAAAGAATTTAGGTAATGAAAATCATTGAAACTCTCGCATAATTATGCCTCTCTGTTTTTGTTTATGATGAATGTAACAAACAAAGTATCCAGAAATGTTGGTGTCATCCGCAAACTTAGCAATTTCTTCCCTCAACGTATTCTTATTACTTTGTATAATACCTTAGTCTTGCCTTATTTATCTTATTGTAATGTTGTGTGGGTGAACACATATCCAACAAAATTACAACCATTGTATTTATTACAGAAAAGAGCTCTTCGTATATGTTCATTTTCTTGGAGACAAGCCCATACTAAAGAATTATTTGTTAAATTTAATGTTCTCACTGTGTTTCAACTCAACTCTTACTACTGTTCAATATTACTTTTTAAACATAAGCAGAATATGCTCCATAAATCATTATCATCAATGCTCACTTCTAATACAACTGTTCATGACCATAATACAAGAAGCAGAAATAAGTATCATCTATGGACTGTTAATAAAAATTACTCACTATTTTCTTTTAGACATCATGCTCCTGTTATCTGGAATAATCTGCCACTTGAAATAAAATCACTTAACTCAATGAATATCTTTAAAAGAAAACTCAAATCGTACTTAATCACAAGTGTGTGAAATTTTAAATTATTGATTTTACTGTCTTGTATTGTCCTGTGGTGGGTTTGTGCGGTTATGTATTTTTTAAATAAATTATGTCATATTTTCATAATTGTTTATTCCTTTATAGTACTTTATTATCTTTTATTTTTTTAAATATTATATTGAATGTTCAATGAAACGTATTTTACCTTCATCAAGGGTGGTCGTCTCGACAAATCCACATGGTTTTTTATGGCCACCCAATTCCAATAATCTTATGTTGTTATCTGATGTATCACTTTATAGTTTTATAATTTTACCTTATTTTGTATTATTGATCGACTTATACTCTTATTCTATCATGATTGTATTCTGTTTTGTATATTTTATTGGAATTGAATAAACTGAACTTGAACTTGAACTTGAATGAAATAAATTTAATTATCTATCTTATATGCTTGGCATTCTGAATAGTAGCTAGCCCTGCATGGAGGCCATTTTCAGCACTGCCTTTAAATCATTGAAACTTTCACCTATACTTATTTTCTTCTCTTAATCTCTTTGCTGCGTGGCTTATTGTATATAGAACGTGCATTATTTCGAATAAAAGACGAAGGTATGTATGCCTCTCCGATGAAGGGAGGGTCGTTTCTTTTTCAACTCATTCATTGATGCTATGTCACAAAGACCTGAGTTGGATCGTTACGTAACTATTCAAGTATCCCTGGTGCAAGCTATTGATAACAGAATTGAATAGCCAACCTTCCCTATTCATTGATGCCATGTTAGGAGTACCATGCACGCATACTGAATCTAATAGACCGTTGTCTGTTCAGCATACTATATGTCAGGGTGCTACGCAGTGATGGCTTTTTGACCAAACACGTTGGCCCGAATTCACAAAGTAGGTTTGTCGACAAACCTAGGTTCATGTGCGTCATAATGACGCGTTTTGACGCGTTTCAGACAAGGTTTGTCTGAACCTTGGTCTGAAAGATATCGAAACACGTCATAATGACGCACATAAACCTAGGTTTGTCGACAAACTTCCTTTGTGAATTCGGGCCATTATGTTGACAGTTTAGGAAATAAAAAATAATACTATAAAAACTCAATATCATAATAATTAACTGAAAGAAAGATTTTGACGGGCGATCTTGACAACATCGGACTTTAAAAAAAATCCTGATATCGTAAGATCAGTAAATTTGTGTTTGCCTTTTGGAGGTATATAGGCCTAATGTCATTGACATCAGAAATATCGAATAGGTTCGATTCTCTGATATATACTCCGTTATCTCTTTGTTTTTAGTATTGAATGCTATGAGACTGTTTAAATAGGCTCAAGGTCAAGGGGACGTTACATCCTCATACTAAAGAGAGAAATATAATCCACAATATATTTACTTGCCAGAAAGCTATCTTCGTAATGGAACCAAATGTAATGCATATACGTCCCTTGTGAAGTGCTTTCATACAAATTATTTCTTTCACGTGTTTAGAATAATTGTATATTTCAGGAGTCAGGATGCAAACTGCAGATATTACATGTTTTGGGGTAGGGCGAGCATTTATATTTTTTCTACCTAGCAACAAACTAATACTGTTCACAATTCGCATGTTGACTATTGAAATACAATTGTACTTTTGTAACAGATGAATGAAGTAATCGAGGCACAAAGACGTATACAGTATATGCATTACATTTCGTTATGTTACGAAACTAGCGTATATAGCCAAGCTCCCCACACTATGAAGATGACGGACAAAGAAAGCGGACAAAATATACAGTTCCTCAGGTAGATAAAGGAACATCCCTTCACTGCTTATATGTAAAAAGTGAATATGCATATGACACCTGTTCTACACATTTTTACATATTAGCAGTGAAGGGATGTTCCTTTGTCTACCTGAGGAACTGTATATTTTGTCCGCTTTCTTTGTCAGTCATGGTGCTATCTTCATTGACGTCACGTGATGGAATGCCACGTATACTGAATTCAATAGTCAGTTTTCTTTTCATTATGCAATGTCATGGAGCTACACCAGATAGAGCATGGACCTATTACGTAATAGGTCCATGACCAGAGCTTCACCAGAGCTGACCACCTGTTTACAATAGACAATGCAATACCAACATATTATCTTGAAGGAGAAGAAGACGAAGAAGAAGAAGAAGAATTCTTTTGTGAGCATGTGCTGATCTGGGAGAAGTTACATACCACTGTCTCTTGTTAGCGCACTAAAGATTGACAGATGATGTCATTATAGGGGAATGAGATCTATAGGGTGCATGGAGCTTAGCAGGTCTGAGAAAATTTTATTAAACAATATTCAAAAATCTATGAGGTATATTTATATGTTTGCAATATGAGTTGTATGCAACCCTGAACATCAACAGGAATCAACTTATATTTGGGGTAGAGAGGGACTCAGGCTTTGGCATTGGGCCCAAAATGTACATTGCATCTATACGTCATGATCATGCAGTGACTCAGTCTCAAGAAAATGTTTGAAAATGCTGTGTAAAAACATTTCAACCTCTAAAAATAATGTAAAAGAAGATATTAAAAAGAAGCAGAAGAAGGAAGAGAAAGACAAAAAAAAAGGAGAAACACCGTACGGAAAACGTTATATAGTATTTGCCTTTTAGTGTTTGTATATGTTTAATAACAACGGCAATAATAATAATGAAAAACTCTCTCTCTCTCTCTCTCTCTCTCTCTCTTTCTTTATATATATATATCTTTCTCTCCCTCTCTCTCTCTCTCCCTCTCTCTCTCTCTCTCTCTCTCTTTCTTTATATATATATATATATATATATATATATATATATATATCTTTCTCTCCCTCTCTCTCTTTATCTCTCTCTCTCTCTCTGTCTCTCTCTCATAAAAACACCTCTTAATTCTATAACGCACGTTTTAATAGGATGTCCAAGACATTTTATGACGGAGTCGAGTATAGGGCCCCAAGGAGTTGCATTTCTTCGATGATGTGAAATCCATATAAAATACCCAGGAAAACGGTAGAATGTAAAAACTTTTTTTTTTAATTTGAAGCATATAAAGAAACCCCCATATCCTGGGAGTATGGGCGTTTCATGAGGAGGGGGGAGGGGGGCGGATGCTCAAGCCGTGTACATGTAACAACTGATCTGCTTTCCAAAAGCACTCCTCAATATTAACGTCGCAGATTTTTGCTCAAATTTTGATTTGAATATGTCCCTGATTTTCCGATAGGCGTCCCCAAAATATACACGCAGATTATTGTTATAAATTATACTCTCGATATAAACATTATTTATAAAGATATTTATTATATAAATGGGGATCCAACAAAAAAAATTTGCTGGGTCAAAATTGCCTTTTAAATTTATTGTTTATTTTTGCTCAAAATTTTATTTGACTATAGCCCTAATCTTCTGATAAGCACCATCAAAATATAGCGGTTTTTTTTTAATAAATATTTTTAATTAATTTTTTAACCCGCATGACACTGGCAACGCGCAACGAGGCGAGGACTTTGACCGGGTCTGAATTAAGACTACCGGTAAGTGTTGGTGGTCGATCGGTTGTGAAAGCTACGCTGGGAAGCCCGTGTCACATCCAGGTAAATTCAATGGTTTTAACTGAGAAATTTCGTTTTGATACTTCCATTTCGTAATTGCAATCTGTGTGAACACCTTTTATCTTTTGGTATATGCTATCTGTTTAGCCATATTGGTGATATGTGAGCTTAACTTGTTAACATTTTATCACTTGTTCACGCTCATTCATTTTGTGCATTGGGCTTCATTACAGTCCGATGTATTATAAACGATGTAAGTAAACGTCAAGTGAGGGCAAGGCTACTCCTGAGTCCTACTCCTACTAGTCCTAGCATAAATATGCATGAGGTATTACCGTAAACCATCACGGTATTGACCTCATACCAGATTTAGCGCCAAAAAAGTACAATTTTTTACACGCATCATGCACAAGTACAAAATAAAAGAAAAGGAGAAAAATAAAATTTATTCTTGAAATAATCGCTGCATGGTCTGAGAATGATCATCATCCGCATGAATGCGGACAAATTTTGTCCTAAAAAATAAGTCATTTTTGCTGATTTTTTTTCTCATCGCCGCTCTGCATGTCTTGGGTTCCCCAATCGCGTGCTGGTGATGTGGAAAACGAATTCCGTGTAATAAAATAACCACAGCACGAAGCAATATTCCTTACATTTAGCGCTTGCGCGGTTACGTTTAATCGGTCTCCGCCTCATTTGAATTACCCGCCCGCGCCCCGCCCACGAATCAACGTTCTTTTTCCTTCTGATTGGATGTAAAAGACCCGCCATTCGCTTAACGTTACAAATTTGAGTGCGACGAGAGAGCATACTATTTTCCGTTTTTTTCAATACCAAAATTGTGATATTTCAGTCAAACCCTCTATTTTTAATGATTTTTTCACTTAAGTATTTCACTTAAGTATTTCACTTAAGTATAAGTCTTACTTAACTAAGAAAAATTATCAAAAAAGTCATATTTAAGGTACAAACTTGATTCTTTTCCTGAAATGTCCGTTCACGTTTCGTTTGCATGTGTATGGAACGCCATGTGTGCGTCACCTATGTGTAAAGTGCGTCACCTGTTTAAAGCCTGAAATTTCAGTGTTTTTGGTATCCATTTTTGTATGATTGACAGCTAGGGCGTCAGAGCCGAAGTTTGTTTCCTTTGTTCGGTAATAATTCCGAACCATACAGCTGAGTGTCGTATGAAATCGTTCGCCGTGTTTACGTCTGATTGTGACTGCGTATATGTTGTACTTTGAACTGGTTGTGGTCAGCGTTCGTAGTATTTCCATGGTTACGCGTTTGCGCGGCCTGGCTTGGGGGAACTGCCTGGCCTGGGGGAAATTGCCTGGCCTGGGGGAAACGGCAATATGATTTCGGCGTTTTGTAAAAACACACCAGGAACTAACTAAGCTCCGAAGGGTGCTCAACCGAGATTTGGTGGTCTCCATTCCTACATTAATTTCTTTGTCAAATAATAAGCACTTTGTCAAATAATTAAAGCACTCTGTCAAATAATTAAAGCACTCTGTCAAATAATTAAATGCAAATACAAGTCCGAAATGGAAAGTTGTAATATGACAATAAAATAACATATCAGTAATAGTTTCATAAATGAGAGGCAGGTTAGTATACTTGCTAACAAAACTGACAAATTTGATAAAAATGGTTAAATCTTGAGAGGATTTTGATCGTTTGACAGTATTATATAATTGAGTTTCCCAAATTATTTTCAGTAACAATGTTGCATTTTTTTTTTTTTGGGGGGGGGGGGGTAAAAAAAAATTAGTGGGGTTGGGGGCAGCTTTTTTTTTTTGGTAATTATTTTTTTAATATTTCTTTTTTGTATGTGTAGTATCATATTATTATCAATGTTATGCTTTCAGTCATCGCTTATTATATTCATAAATGTATATATATATCTCTCTCTCTTTCCGTCTCACTCTTTCGTCCCCCCTTCTCTCTCTCTCTCTTTTTCTCTCTTCCTCTCTTCCTCTCTTTCTCTCTCTTTATCATCACTCCAACTCTCCCTCCTCTACACCTCTCTCTTTCTCTGTCTTTTATTTAACAAAAATTTGAATTTGATCAATGACTTTTTAAATGCCTATCGGGGGTCTATGTTTGATTTTTGATTTATGTCATATTTTGTGTTATTTCAATTTAAATTGCAATTGTATGTTTGTGAAATGGATCGCAATTCAGCCATTGGCTGCGATGATTTTTCTAATAAGAACCATTTCTATTCTATTCTACTCTATGTATTCAAATATGTTATTCAGAGATGTCGGAGGGTATCATTAAATGTATAACTTATGTAAGTGCATACATCTTTGATGCGGTCATTCTTTTGATTATGATTTCACCCATCACCCATCGACCCCGGTTATCTTCCAAGGGCGGTGGGATTTTGCTTCTCTATAGATCCACGGCTCGCTGTACCTTGAACAACAACAATGATTTTGCATCTTTTGAATTACTGGATGTCACACTCAATCTGACACCTTCATCTGCTGTAAGGTTGTACTGTATTTATCGACCACCCCCGTCTGCCAATAATAATCTCTCCAACGGCACATTCTTGGATGAATTTCCAACTCTCCTTGAAGGTGCTGTTGTAGATGATCATTTTCCTCTATTATTGGGTGATTTCAACATACATGTTGATGATCCCAATGATAATTTTGCAAAATCTGTTATGACATGTGTTGATTCGTTAGGGTTCAAGCAACATGTTCGTGAACCAACCCATCGTGCAGGTCACACTCTAGATTTGATTTTCACAAGGAATTCGGATGATGTCTGCAACGTGAACTCGCTATCTTCCATGCCTTCCGACCATTGTGCACTTGTCACCACTGTCAATATCGCAAGGCCGAAGAATCCCAAGAAAGAGGTTTCCTTCAGGAAATATCGCAGCATTGACAAGGACTCTCTACGCAACTCTATTGACACAATGTTCCATTCACTTCCTGATCTATCTTGTCCATCTGCTTCCGCGGAGCATTACAACTCATCTTTGCGGACGTTGATTGATGAGCACGCTCCAATCCAGGTCAAGACTGTATCAATCAGACCTGATGCGCCATGGTTTACCGATGATATCCAGGAAGCCAAGAGGCGAAGGCGTCGTGCGGAACGTCGTTCGATCAAGTCTGGACTTTTTGTTGATAGAGAGCTGTACCGCCGTGAATGCGAGTCATATTATGAGTGCATCTTCAATGCGAAGTCAGCGTATCTCAAAGATCTCATCAAGAATGCTGACACTAAAGAACTGTTTCGTCTTGTGAAGACACTCTCAACGCCCACTCAATCTTCACCTCTTCCAGATCATTCTTCTGATAGTGAACTCGCCAACAGATTTGCTACATTCTTCAGGGAAAAAGTCGCCAAAGTTGTATCCTCTTTCCCTAATGTAGTACCAGCACCAGCTTCAAGATCTTTTGCTCCAGGCCCTCGTCATGAACTCTCTGATTTCTGCCTTGTATCCCTCTCACAAGTCAGGAAGCTCATCACTTCACTTCCTTCTAAACACTGTAAGCTAGATCCGATTCCTACCTGGCTTCTAAAGGAAGTCCTCGATGAACTCCTTCCTCACATAACCAAACTGTTCAATCTCTCGTTATCATCCGGAATAGTTCCAGAGTCTTTTAAGACTTCTCTGCTTCTTCCTCTCCTAAAGAAGCCGAGTCTCGACACGAATGGACTTAAGAACTACAGGCCCATCGCAAACCTGCCATTCCTTGGGAAGGTTTTGGAACGTATTGTGTCACTACAGCTGAAAGCCCACATTGACAATCTCGGTTTGTTTCCAATCCACCAATCTGCCTATCGGAATCATCATTCTACTGAGACTGCAACTGTCAAGGTCCTAAATGACCTACTTCTAGCTGTAGATAAGGGTAATGAAGCTGTCCTCATCTTGCTTGATTACACTGCCGCATTTGACACTATCAACCACGACCTGTTACTCCATCGCTTAGAGAACGACTTCTCCATCACCGGCACCGTACTTCAATGGATTCGCTCCTATCTCATGCACCGAACTCAGAAGGTGATCATCAATGACACCAACTCGGAATCATTTCCCCTCATCTGCGGCGTTCCTCAGGGTTCCGTGGTCGGCCCCCTCCTGTTTATTCTTTACACCAGCCCTCTCTCAAATGTTATTAACCTTCATCAGAATATTCAACACACTATGTATGCAGACGACACCCAGATTTATGTAACTCTTCACCCAAACAGCAGGACAGTAGCCGCGAACAAACTCACCAGTTGCCTCAATGAAATCAAAACCTGGTCTTTTCAAAACTGTCTCTGCCTTAATGATTCAAAATCTGAAATGATTCATATTACTTCTAAATTTCGGAACTCAGACCCCTTTCCTGATCTTGTTATGAGTGATGGCTCTCTCAGTTGTTGTGCTTCTGTGCGTGACCTTGGTTTAAATATTGACAGCAATCTTACTTTCAAACAACACATTAGTAATATTTGTAAGTCTGCTTCCTTTGGTATATATAAGATCAGTAGAATCAGGAGGCTACTTGACCGACCCACAACTTCAAAATTAGTCCATGCTTTTGTCTCGACCCATATCGATTACTGTAATTCTTCTCTTTCTGGCCTCCCTCAGTCACATCTAGTCCCACTTCAAAGGGTACAGAATAGCGCTGCTCGGCTTGTGACTCTCTCGCGTAAATCAGAGCACATAACTCCAATATTGAACTCACTACATTGGCTTAAAATTCACCACCGCATATCCTTCAAAATTCTTCTCCTGTGCTACAAAGCTATCAATGGCTTAGCCCCCTCTTACCTTTCCGATCTCATATCCTTACGTTCCCGTACGTCGTCACGAACACTTCGTTCATCTTCCACATTACTGTTAACACCTGGACCCCGCACTAACACCCGGTATGGTGACCGCGCCTTTTCAGTTATTGCCCCCGCTCTCTGGAACAAACTGCCCGCCTTTATTCACTGCGCCCCCTCTGTATCTCAATTCAAATCTCTACTCAAAACCTATCTTTTCAAATTGTAAATTGCAGTTGTGCGTCGGTCAATGGAGGTGCGCACCATATTTGTCTTTATTTAGTTGATTGCCACTGTTTTTCTTACCTTATCTATGTTACTTTTGTATTTTTGCTTTTTCTTCTAATTTAATTCTACGGGTTATAGTCTTCTCTTAATCAGAACACTGTGCGCTTAGAAACATCAGTATTAAGCGCCTAATAAATGTTATGTATTATTATTATTATTATTATTTTCCTGTTCAGTCCAATTTCATATTAGATCAGAGTGAGATGTGATGGAAAGGGGGTATGACATTGAGATAAATAATTAGAGAGAAAGAGAGAAGGAGAGAGAAAGAGAGAGAGCGGGGGGGGGGGGGGGGGGGGGGCCTTGTGTTGGATGTCAATTTTCAAAGCTCAAAAAAAAAACTATGCTCATTTTAAGAGGAAATTAAAGGAAAACCTAATACTTGACAGTCGGAGAAGTGAATGACATGTGATTGAAATTTGTATTCTTCTGCCGGTTCATACTTTTTCATTTTGTATATATTTATGTTTTCGTACGTTATAGAAATTCTACTAATTCATCATTATTTTCTTCTTCTTCCTCCTCCTCTTTTTCTTCTTCTCCTTCTTCCTTTTCTTCTTGTACTTATTATCATTTCTATCATCAGTTTAATGTTATTATTATTATCTTTAAAAGGTAATTCTTTTATTTTTCTTATCTGTCTGTAAATATGACTATTTTTACTTATTAATTTTATATATGTCTGTAAGGGACCCCACTGGAAATAAGCTCTTGTGGGTTATCCTGTTCAAGCTGACTTGTTGATTTGTTATTATTGTATATGTTGTATGTTCGAAGCTTGTCGAATAAAACTCAATCAATCAATACATACATATACCTCCACACTCAGGCGCGGATCCAGAATTTCTTAGGGGGGGGGGATTTGAAATTATGCAAGCCAAATATTGGTACGTAATGGTGACCCAGCAGTGGCGAAATGAGCAAAAACGTGTTATTGTTGATGTTGTTGTTGGTGTTTTTTTTGTTTTGTTTTTTTTTGAGGGGGGGGGGTAGAAACGATCAACGTAACGTAAATTAGCGTGGGGTCTAGGGTCGAAGCCCCGGCGGGGGTCAAGGGGAGGAGCACACAGAAGCTCAGGGAATATAGGCTTTTAATTACGGTCAGATGAGCACATTTTGACTCCTCATTATTTTGTGATAAAGGCAGGTCACTATTCTTTTTTCCTTATTTAGGAATTTGCCATTTCCCAACACTCATAAAAAAATCTAGGAAAATCATGTCATTTTAGTAATATTTGTAAATCACCGGTATCGAATTAGAAATAAACCACGTTTGAATTATATTTTGGGGGCATCTGTCACCCCCTTCCCCAAGCCCAACCCCCCCCCCCCCCCCCCATCAGTGCGACAGTGCCCCCCCCCCCCAATCTACACCTTAACTATCTTCTTTCTCTTTTTTTCTTTCCCTTTATCTCCTCTTTTTCCTTTCCCTCCTCTTTTTCCTTTCCCTTTCCTTCCTTCTCTCTTATTTTGTGATGGGGGGGGGGGGGGAGGGGGAGGTAACAGCTGGGAGGCAAGGCCCTTTTGCCGCCCGATCTCCTTTCCCCTTTTTCTTTTCTTCTTCCTCTTCTTTCTTTCCCTTTCTCTCCTCTTTCCCTTCTTTCTCTCTCTCTCTCTCTCTTTTTGCGGGAGGGGGGGGGGGGGGGCGGCAAAGTCTGTTCGCCCTGGATCCGCGCCTGTCCGCACTCATTGAGTCATCTCTTTTGCTTTGTACAACTAATACATTTCCTAATTATGAGCAGCACAGCTCATTACGACAATCGTGTCTAATGTTTATGAACTTGTTTTCCATTTTAATTGGTAAATTGATATTTAAATGTATTAATACATGTATGTATTTACATACATGTAGGAGCATCAGCTATCATGGCTTCAAGAAATCATGACACCCAGGTTGCGGGACGTGGACCCTGCTCCTGTGCAACCCACAAAATATGATAAAAATAACATATAATTATAGAATGTTGTACTGTAAAACATCATCATAAGAGAAAAGAGGTGGAGAGGAGGAGGGAGGGACAGAAAGTGTGAGAGAGAAACAGAGGGGATGAAGGAGAGACGAAGGGAGAAAGAGGAAGAGGCAGAGAGAGCAAAGAGAGAGAGAGAGATCGAGAGAGAGAGATACAGACAGAGAGACAGGGGGTGGGAGTGAAATAGAAATAGAGAGGAAAGACCAGAACTGAAGAAGAAAAGGAAAATCTGAAAGTAGCAAGTTCAGATAGAGAAAAGGGATGAGAGAGTGAGAGGAAGGATAAAAGTACATGCAACATCAAAATATGAATGAATGGAAGAACCTGCTGTGCCAATCATCATGACAATTAATATTGCACATAATTAATCTCCTCCATTAGATTATGATTTTCATTTCGCCAATGCTAATTATAACACCAATGACTAGACTGCATTCCTTGAGCTGGCGAGGCACGCGCAGTTGAACTTTCCATGAACTCAAATCATGCCGCAATGCGCATAACTTGGCTCGCTTTCCCACGGTCATTAAACTTGCCGGTATTATCCGAAACCTGAAAAACCTAACCGAGGAATCGTTCGGAAAACCGAGGAGTCGATCGGACGCCCGAACGGAAGAGCAAAGTAGCTGCCCAAGTCAAACTAAGGTCAAGCTGATTTACGCATCAATTTTCTGATTGGATCAGCGCCCGGGGGCGTTACTTGGGATTTTTTTTGCTAGATTGATCACCCAATGGGTGCTCGTAAACTCATTGTACATGGATAAACGATATATTTGCTTCGTGCACAGTTTACCGGTGAGTCGGCCATCTTCCCGAGGATTTATCGCTCATAACGTGAAAGTCTCTGTACAGAGTCAATGTGAAATGCATCAAGAAAAATCATTGCGGAATCCATTTTTTCGTATCGCAAAAGTGACAAACAGAGTTGACAAAAGACTTAACTCCTTTTCGTTGACAATCAGCCGTAGACGAAAGACTTCATGCATGGCTGATTGTCAACAAAACTGAGTTAAGTCTGTTGTCAATTCTGCATGTCGCTATGGCAGGCACCCAGTGAAAACTAATTTGTTTGATAAAATTATGGAAATGCAAGCACTACTTTAAACAAACAGAACTTTGTCATTCCATGCTCTTTTTTCCTGATTGAGATGTCATATGAAAGGGCAGAACCTCAACTTTCTAGAAATGTGATTTTCTCTTTGAAATTCAGATACCGTCCGCCAAATGACTTTTTGGTTTCCTCTCTTCAAATTCATTTTAATCACTCATGCGTAAAATATGCATCATGTGAGTTGCATCAAATGAAAGAGGAGGATCTACGCTTTCCAAATATGTGTCATTTAGTAATAATAAATGTGACTAAGTTATGATAAAACATCGATAGTTCTCGGTTTTGTTTTTCTGGGACGCACTGCACTATTTAAATGACAAAATCATCTTTGTTTTATCAAAATCGTTTCAGAGACAGCCGAAATATATCATGTCAAAACAGATTCTGCTCTTACATTATTTTTCTCTTTGACTTCTGTCGCCAGGAGAGATCCAGCACAGCAGACGACAAAATGACACAGGCGATGGATCTCTCTAAGAAACGAAAAAGAGATGCACCTATACCGGTCACAGTACCGGTTATAGCACCGGTTACAGCACAGGTAACCATTAAACGGGAGCCAGTGGAGGAAACTAGTGATGATGGTAAGTGAAGTCAGAAATTAATTCATATTTCAAATCAACTTTACTTTATACTTTTCAAATCAACTTTACCTTACTTTTCAATTATGAAAAAAAATAATGATGATGATGTATGATGATGATGATGATAAAGATATTAATAAAAGTAGCAACAACAACAACAACAGCAACAATAATGATAGTAATAGTGATAATGAAGATCATAACAATAATAATGAAGAACAAGTTGATACAGTAATTTTGAACGTCCCATTTACAATAAAATAGAGGTGTTACACAAGTCTGAATTTTAAATTGTAAATGTCTCTTTCATATACCTTCTACCTTGTACCTTGTGCCTTGTGTTCGTCTCTTCCGAAAGGTCCGCTAGGAACTATAATTGGAAGTATAACTTGACATGACGAGAGTATAGATTTGTGTATTTCTGGGGTTATGCTATTTGATTTAGTTTTGGGATTGCGGATTTGAAGACTGTGCTGGATTTGATGTCCACGTTTAGTTGAGGTAGGTCATTCCATAATTTTACAGCTTCAGGGAAGAAGGATTCTGCAAAGGGTGTTGATGAGCACTGAAAGGTAGTCAACTGTTTGTCATGTGTCCGCCTACTTCTTGATCCTTTCCTCTGGAGATAATCTCGTAGTGGAATATCTAGTTTTGCATTAATCATCTTGTGGAGTGTAGTTACCCTTTGGATTAGGCGTCTCCTGTCTACGTTGTCCCATTTCAGTGTTGTCAGCATTTTGGTCACACTGGACTGGGGAGTGAAGTCGCCCAACACGAACCTTGCTGCCCTTCGCTGCACTTTTTGCAGCAGATCCCTGTTTTTCTTGGTTCCGGGGTTCCATGCCAAGCTGGCGTATTCTAAGTGGGGTTGGACTATTTTCTTGAAGAGGTTTTCTTTCACAGTTCTTGAGCAGGAAGAAAAATTCCTTTTGAGGAAGTTGAGCATCTGTGTTGCTTTAGTTGCAGCATTGCTGGACTGCCTGTCCCATTTTAAGTTATTTTGGATGATAACTCCCAGGTACTTGTTCTCTTTGACTTCTTCAAGGGGGCTATCTTTCATCTGGTAGTTAGTCTTCCCGGGATTACGTTTTCTGGAAACCATCATTACTTTGCACTTTGATGAGTTTAATCTCATACCCCACTTGCTTGACCATTCTAGCAAATTGTTAAGGTCGGTCTGAAAGGAGACTTCGTCTTCTGGGTTAATGATAGGCCTGTAGATAATACAGTCGTCTGCAAACAGCCTTGGGGTTGATGTGACACACTGTATTATGTCGTTAATGTAGAGGATGAACAGATGTGGGCCGAGGACGGTCCCTTGCGGAACTCCACTGAGGACGGGCATCCATGGCGATGTTCTCCCATTCACTATGACCCTTTGGACACGGCCGGTTAAGAAGGACTTGATCCACGCAAGGGTTTCACCTCGTATACCGTAGAAACTTAACTTCTGAAGAAGGCGTCTGTGTGGGACTACATCAAAAGCTTTGCTGAAGTCCAGTATAGCTATGTCTGTAGTTTGGTACTTGTTATGATTTGAAGATGGGTCATGGAATGTAGATATCAGCTGAGTCTCACACGATCTTGATTTCCTGAAAGCGTGCTGTGCGTCGACCAAAATACTTCTTTGGGTCACATGTTTCATGATATGACTGTCTAGTATATGTTCTAGAACTTTACAGCAGACACATGTAAGCGAAATCGGTCGATGGTTACTTGGATCTGACTTAGAGCCTTTTTTGAAGATGGGTGATATGGTAGCTTGTTTCCAATCTTCAGGCAATTCACTGTCCTTCATGCTCTGTTGGTAAATGAGTTGAAGTACAGGTGCTATTTCTTTGGCTGCTAACTTCAATGCAGCATTGGGAATATTGTCTGGTCCAGCTGCCTTGTTGGTTTGGAGATTCTGTAAGAGTTTCTCCACTCCCTGTACGGTGATGTTCACATCTAATATGTCTTGATGGGGACTATTTAACAATGTTGGCAGTAGCGGGTCTTCCTGAGTGAAGACACTCTGGAACTGTTGTGCTAACACTTGGGCCTTTGAGCTGTCGTCAACTACAGTTACATTGTCAACCTTGAGTGCGTGGATACCAACATTATCTCTCTTGCGGAATTTGACGTACTTCCAGAACTTCCTTACGTCATGAGATATAGATAGCTCTGATATGTACTTTCTCCTTGCCTTACGTAGTTCCCTGTCTACTTCTTTCCGGACGGTCTTGAACTTGTCCCAATACTCTGGTTTAGTGCTGTTTTGTCTTGCTTTGATGTAGTAGCATTCCTTTCTTCTACAAAGCTGTTTGTGTTTCTGGGAAAACTATGGTGGTTGGAACTTTTTCCCTGTCCTTTTGCTGGGGACATGTTTGTTGATAAGAGCAGTGAGCAGATATGTAGTGTTTAATTTGCAGGTTTCTTGATTAATAATTCTATTTTCATGTGGAGTTGCCATTATACTTAAATATTCAAGGTTCAAGTCACCTGACTTGGAATCAAATTGTCCAGGGTTTGAATCCCAAATGTGACACTAACATCATTTTGCAAGAGATTTATCTATATTGCCACTCTTTAAAGCAGTTTTGAATTGAATTGAATTTATTTACCACTTTCATAAAAACATGCAAAATCAAAGAATACAGTAAAAAAAAAATAAAATAAATAAAATCTTACCCAGTGAAGTGAGTGAAGAATGAGTGCCTATAAGACTTGTTTGAAACCTTTGCGAATGATGCAAATTATGGCAGGGAGTGGAGATAATGCACATTTGTCTTACGTTTGAAGTCATGTGACCAATGGTGATAGTGACATTCTAAAGTGGCTCAAACGTGTGATGCAATGTGTGCAGTGTTTTATAAATGCAAGGAGAAGTTGCTATATCATATAACTTTTGGATCAGATTTGATTAGAATGCAATGAAGTGTTCACAATACATATATGTAAAGTATTATTTCATTATGTTTAGTAATATATAGTATGTTTAGAATTATATATTGTTTATTTTCTATAGTAATTTATACTACGTTTATTATGTCAACTTGTCAAGTAATATTATTTTACTGTTATGTTTATTATATTTAGTAATATCATTTGATTTTGTTTTGTGAAACATGTATATGTTTATTATGTTTAGTAATATATTTGTGTGTGTTTTACCTATACAGGCTACTTTACTAGTCTCGGGAGGGGGAGCGAGAAACATTATGCAAAGTCGTCCAGCCATGTCTTTCAGTACGCTACGCAACATCAGGGTATTCCTTTCAGTCCAAGCAGCCCTGTCTATCATCATCCAGTACCAAACAATAATATCGAGATCAAACAAGAGACGGTGACGGACGAAGATAGGTGCGAGGTGTGCTTCAAACCTTACGATAATGCAGAACATGCGAGGACTACTTTCCGTTATCAACTGCATGATCTGGAGTTGGTGCTGTGTATGAAATGCTGCGCGAGCATCGAGTCGAGGCAGCAGGAGGAGCACTTGGATTCTCGGAGCGATGACATGTCCACGGCTGAAGATGAGACGGACAGCGGGTCGCAGGATACAGGGAGCTCGGAACGACAAGAGAGGTATGAGCAGTTCCGTGAAGAGTATCAGGGAATTGGGAATCTAGATGGTGATGCGGATGGTACGGATGAGGAGAACGAGGGGGCGCTGAGCATCGAGGCTGACAGTGAGAGCAGCCAGTCGGAGCCATTCACAAGACCATACATTGCCGGTGGGTCGCAGTACATTGACGGGCATAGCAACCATCTGGGCCAGATCCAGAGTGTCTTCATGGGAGTGAGGCCCTACGAATGCAAAACCTGCGGGAAACGGTTCGCCCAGAAGAGCTGTCTTACGCGTCACACCAAGATCCACACCGGAGAGAGACTCCATCAATGCGACGAGTGCACCAAGTCTTTCACCCGCGCCAGCAATCTGCGGTCCCACATGCGGACGCACACCGGCGAGAAGTGCTTCCAGTGCCCCATCTGCCAGAAGCTCTTCGGTCAGAGTTCCTGGCTGAAGCGTCACATCCGCACCCACACGGGCGAGAAGGAGGTCAAGTGCCCGCTCTGCAGCAAGTGGGTCAGCTCCACGACCAGTCTTCAGTCCCATATGAGAACACACACGGGGGAGAAACCCTTCGCCTGCCTCATATGTGACAAGAGCTTCAGTGTCAAGTGCACCCTGACGGTTCATATGCGTATCCACACAGGCAACAAGCCATACGTGTGTGAGGTGTGTGGTGCTGCATTCATACAGGGGACCCAGCTGTCCACTCACATGCGGGTGCATACGGGTGAGAAGCCATACATGTGTGAGATCTGTCATCGGCAGTTCGGCAAGAAAGACAACCTCCTCACCCATGTCAAGGTATGCAATTCTTTCTCAAAATTCTATTGAAAAATAGAGTTAAAAAGATGATAATAGTAATAATATATATGATTGGATCTATAAAGCGATTTATAAAGTGCCTTTTCTAAAGGATACAAGGCGCTGTCTTTTAGACTATCAACAATTTAAGAGGAGTTGTACAGGTATGTTTCCAGGATAAGTTTTTTCCTGTTTGTATTCAAACAAACTTAATATGAAGACTGACTTCCCCTGCAGTAGAAGTTCTGGGCCCAGTATTACAAAGAGTTGATATCAATCACAACTTCAATCGCAAGTATGTACATAAGAGATAGGAGACTGCACACATGTACTTGAGATTGAATCGGATTAATTGCAACTCTGTGTAAGACAGGGCCCAGAACTGATCATAAGCTTCTCACCATTATATAACACATATAGGGATCTTAAAGGGGAAATTGCATTAAAAAGTTGGTGCTCTTCTGGGTTGAAGTTTTCTCATAAATGAAATAGATTTGTCAACTGCTATATTTTAGTATTTTTAAATGAACTAATTACAATTGTTCCCCTGTTACATATTTTTCACCAAATATAATTTCCATCTTCTCGGCTATAATTTTTCCTCATTGAAAAGTAAATGTTTTGTTATTGATTTAAAAAGCCTTTTCAACTAAAACTTGATGCATGATACATGTACAACTTCCACTAGTACGTCACATTTTCAAGAAAATGGTTGCGTCCATGTCATGCTAAAAGGCAACACATCATGCCAAGAATATCTTCATTTATATAACTCTCGTACATTTCCGTAAGGAATACATCTCATTTACTCTTATGTCTTATTCTTTGGGGTGAGGTACTGAGGTTTCCTTTAAAGCTTATCTGCCATAGTTTACAGGAGGGATTAGACCGCCCTGCAAGGTCACTGGACAGGTGGTTATCTCATCAACTCAGCTCTCAGTTAACATAAGAAAAAGAGCATCATGGGGGACCAATGGTCACCGATTAGGCATTGTTTGTTATATAGAGGGCGCAAGTAGCTACAAGTAGTGCAGTGAGCCTTTAAGGGAAAATTGTTGTTGTTGTTGTGTGCTTTTTTGAGGGGGGGGGGGCAATTTGGATCTTTTTAACTGACCTGTTTCTCTAATTCTTTTTCTTTTATTACAACCAACTTAAAGCTGATCCGGGGCTCTGGTATGGGCATCGTATGTTGAGAGAACATGGCTATAATTCATTCTGGATTGTTAATCATGCAGTAGATTGAATGTTTGAACCAGTAAAATAAAAATTAAAAAACTCACAAAAACTTGCTGGAAATCATCTTCAACTATAACTAAAATCTTTAATTTGCACATAGTGACCTGTGTTAAGCACACAGGCCTGAGTTCACAAGGGAGGTGTAAATTACACCCATGGTTTAAATCCTCATTTACATTACCCATGGTTTAAAATTAGCACAATTTAAGTTTTGTATCTTGCTTTGCGCGCCTCTAATATCGGACTTCTGAATGTGTCACACTTATTGTAGGTTAATTTTAGACCATGGGTTATGTAAATGAAGATTAAAACCATATGTTATATTTAAACCTTCTGGTGTTTCACGAAGATCCTAAGTGAACTAAGTTTGACCTGACAATTATGACAAAGCCGTTAGCATCTATGAAAATATTTTGTAAAAATTTAGAAGGCATAAAATGTTGATTCAAGTCATTCATATTTTCTATAAACAAGGAGATTTCATGTTCTTGATGAGAAATTCATAAAAATTCTAAAATATTGAATTTTCATTTTTGAATATATTTTATTTTAAGAATACAAATGGCTCTCCATAATTTTTTAAATCCAACTTAGAGTTGAGTTTGACTTAGGATCTTTGTGAAACACCACCCAGGATGGGACTTCCCCTTGAACCTAACATGTTGGTCATGATGTTTTCTCCTTCCCATTGGAGCAGATTCACACTGAAGGGCAGAACTTTGACTGCAAGTTCTGCAACCTACGTTTCAACAACTCTGAGGAGCTCAAGACCCATACTCTCATCCATATAGAAGAGAGACCATTCCAGTGTGAAGTGTGCAGCAAAGCCTTCAAGAGAAAGGACAACCTTAAAGAACACATTAAGGTAATTTAAGGCATAAGTCTTTGTTAAAGGGACAGTCCAGTTCTTGTTTAAGACAGCAAATGCTGTCAAAGTGCATGGTTATTGCTCTCTTTCTTATCTATGCCCTTTTAGGACCAGCCCTCTTTGATCGATTTTAATCAAACAAAGATGATTTTGTTATATAAATTGTATGCTCTTTCAATTTTACACTCAGTTTTTCATTATCTCACAAAAAATTATTTTGTGTAGTGCCCTCTATTCCAAAACTCAACTATTCCTTTAACCAGTTGACTACCACATTCTCTAATTCCCATAGACTTAATAGAGGAACTACCTGGCTCCCGCAGGCAATGGGTTAGGTGCCTATTACAAATAATTGTATTTCATTAATCACAATGCGAATCGCATGTATTACGTGTTGTTAGGTAGGACAAGCCATGTTAGCCATCTTCTGACGGTTGCTTCCTAGTCTGCGAATTTTTGCTTTGCAGCAATAAATATCCCATAAATATTTGACTTAAAGATAAAGACCAGTTATGGTCCTGCGATTGCATTGTGAAAGAAACGTTGTGGAATGGATCAGAAAAGGTTGATCATTTACATGTAGCATATAAGTATTGGTGTGTACTGCAAGGTTCTGGAATCATCAAAATGATAAGAAATTTGGCCCAGTCTTTGTAAAGTTACAAGCACTGTACACAGAAAGATGTATATGGGACTACGCACACGTGCGTTTATCTCTCACAGTCCAATAGATAAACTAATTTACCAAATATATCAATTAGTAGGCGGTTTCCCGGCAAAATTTGTATCATCATGTATTAGTCAAAACATATTCTTTCACATGATTGGTAATAAGAGCTTCCATTTCATTTTTTGAAATTGGGGCGTTTCCAATACTGGTCTTTACCTTTAAACCATTAGTTGTGAATACGCTCTAACTCGAACCAACTGGCCATGATTGAGTTACACAACCTTTCACCGACCATGTCTTACTCAGCGTAACTTCTGGAAGCAGTGGCGCCCGCACCCGCACTACTCGACCTCAACCCAGATTCTGCATCTAAACACGGCAAAACGCAATTTTCACTTTCGATTGTAAACAAACAACCCTTTTGAAAGATACGTTGAGTGCCAAGTGAGAGCATCCACACTGTTAAACTTACGCTACCCTCTAGTTGTGTTAACGTGTAACTCCTGGGGAAATCCAGGAGTAAATCAGTCGGCGTAGTTATCGTACCATATTTATGCCGACTAACTCTAAACATTTCGTGATTTCCTCCCTGTATTTGTGAAGATCCAATTGTATGTATGGACTCGTAAACCTGTTTGGTCACCTCTTCTTTCACTGCGTCGATGATCGCTTGGATGAGACGTGAATGTGTTTCTTCGCTGATCGCTTTGTCCACTTGAGAGCGAATGGTATTTATCAATTGGGGGTCATTCATTATGTCCTCAGTTGAGGGACCACCTGAACTGGCGGGAGAGTTATAGGCGGAGTCTCTCGGCCGAGCTCCTGGTGAATGTCTGGGCAGATCCCGTGCTCCAGACTCCTTCTTTGGCGGTGGCTCCATGACTTCAAGGTTCTCCTTCTCATTCAGAGTTTGAGAGCGCATTTTCATTTTTGGAGTAGTTGGACACTCATTGTAGTTCACAGTCACATTTGCTTCTCAGCAATTTTTGAGAAAGATTTCCAAAGCAGTTTTTTACACACTTGAATCAAGCTAAAACAGGTACATTCAGTTCATGCAATATAATCAATAACAGCTAGAAAAGTGCAATAGTTTTGACGCCATTGAATCTTATAGTAAAGGTGAATTTTTGATTGTTTCTTTTCATATACCTCATAGCAATTCAAAAGAATAATCCATTCTCTATAAACAGGTATGTTTAATCTTACATTGTCAACAATACTTTGTTAAAATGATGACCTTTAAATCTGTGTGTCTTTGTATAAGACTATGATGATACATTTTAAATTACTCTTTGGACAATGAACTTGTATGGATTACCTTCATGCGGCAAAATGAGATCAATAAAATATCTTTTGGCAAGACATTAGTCTACATTTGCCACTATCCAGCCAGATGAATTAAATGGGTACCCGGTAGGATGAAATTCCTTGAATACTTAATAGCGCATTATTATGGCAGCTCAGGTACAGCCGGGGTAATAATATGACCAACAGATTTTTTTTCAGGACTACACACGCACTCAAGAAAAAAAGATTACTGACAGTCCTTTTCAGGACTCCTCAATCCTCCCTCTCTCTCACATGGTGCAACCGTAAGCCTACTGTATAATAATAATAACTTTTACTTATATAGCGCTTTTCATAAGACATTTATATCAAAGCGCTTTACAATATTGATACAATTAAAACTAAACAGAGTAATGACAAAAGAACAAATATAAAGTGAAATTATGAAATATGTATGTATGTATATCTATATCACAGCCGATACTTATAAGCAGCATCTAATTATTCTAATATGATACCTTGTATTAAGTGCAGTAGAGTATATTCATATAGTAGCTGTGCTATATAAATTGACATATTATTGTTATGATGAATTGATAAATTTACTTGATAAAATGCTTTATTCTATCAAGGTTCACACCAAAGAGAAGCCTTTTAGCTGTGAGGTTTGCAAAGAGGCCTTCTCCAACGGCAGCCATCTTAAGGTCCACATGCGACGTCACACGGGGGACAAGCCCTACTCCTGTGAGCTCTGCGGGAAGTGCTTCACCCAGAGCAGTAGCTTGAAGACCCACTACCTGATCCACACCGGTGAGAAACCTTACTCCTGTACTATCTGCCATGCACTCTTTACCCGCAACGCCAGCGTCAAGAAGCACATGAAGAGAGCCCACAATGCCGACATGCCGGGACCAGAGGAGGCGTCTGAATGAGTGGGCCTCAGAGCAGTAGCTTAAAGACCCACTACCTGATCCACACCAGTGAGAAACCTTATTCCTGGGGTGCGTTTCACAAAACTTGTCATTGAACAAAGGCTTTGTGAAACGGGTCCCTGTACTATCTGCCAGACACTCTTCACCCGCAACGCACTCTTCAAACACAATGCCACCATGCCGGGACCGGACGATGCGTCTGAGTGAGCAGCCCTCGAGGAACCACTGGGAGGGAGTGAGTCAGCGGAGGTTTGGTACAGTCAAACCTGCTTTAGTGACCACCTGTCTACAAAGACCGCCTGTCTATAAAGACCACATGTTTTGTTTCCCTTGAAAATTGTTTCTCATTGAAACATGTACTATTAAAGGAACCTGTCTACAAAGACCACTTTTTAAGTATCCCTTGGGTGGTCGCTATAGACAGGTTTGACTGTAGTTATTGGTCTCACCATCCGAATTTCGTTTTGTATTTTCTTGATATGCACACGGGCCTTTGTATGTGTAGATATGATGAGGTGTATTTTATACGTATTTATGTCTTTTCAAAATGATTAACTAAATTGATTCAGATGTTTTTCTCTGTGAACGATTGACTGATTGTAACTTAGAATCAACCAGTTAATTTGTTTGTTAAATAGATAAACCCACAATTATGAGGGAAATTTATGCATACCTGTTGTAAACAATATGAAAAATTATATGTCTGTTCATGTAGTTGCCATCTTATAAGTGTATAATGAAATCTATTTGAAAATATATTCATTTTAAAACTTTTCTAGCTGGTTTTGGGAAATTTCGGATTTTGTAAATAAGCAGTCTTTTCGAATATTGGGTTATTATGATTATTATGGAAATACCCCCTCCCCACCCCCCAACCAAAATCTAAATGTGGAAAATTCTGATGTATTTATATTAAAATATTAAAACTCTATTGTAAGAAAGAATTAATATTTGACAATATTTAAAGAGTTTGCTATTATGGGAAGGGGGAAGAGTTCTTCATCTTAAATGTATATAGATTGTTGCAATTATTGGCTTGTATTCTTAAAAACAGAAGAGTGTTAATCTGGCTCATTGATTATTTATAGAGTATCAGGTTTTTAGCCTTCCATTCCCGAAAATTATTTAGTCATGGAATGAAAACTTTTGTTTGTTCATTGAATTACAACAAACAAGCAAAAGAACATCCATTGAAATAGATTCAACTATGTTAGTTGGGATTTAACTGCTATGAAATTAATCACCTTTCAAGAATACCGGCCCTTGATTTCTATAAAACCTCTGTAAATGATGAAGGGCAAAAGTATTTTAAGATTGTAAATATATTCTCCATCTTGAAAGGATTAAATAATGTTGGATTCTGTAATATTTTGAATTCAATCAGTTTTAATATTCCCTTTAATGAATGTATCACACCTGTGTGATTGAGTGATTGTACTTTGGACTATTTGCTTTTCTACCAGTTCTTTATTTCCAGGCTACAACAAACATGGCCACCTGTTTACAAATGGGTTTTGAAAGAAATTGCAATGAAATTAGATGCATGTCTGTACATTCTCCTTTGAAGTATGAAATGTGAATATGAATATTACCAGTAGATGGAAATTAATTTAATTTTGGGTTATTTAGTCTTTTAAGAAAGTTCTGCATGTGATCAGGAAGACATTACATATAGGTTTGGAGCCAGAAGGTTATTTATTAATTCTCTATACAGTGTTAGTATCGGTAGTAATGCCTGGTAGTTGAAGGAGGCGCGGTAGAGCAGTGGTCTCGTAATCCGGTGACCCGGGTTCGAAACCAAGGCGATGCGCTAGTGCCCTTTAGTAAGGCATTAATCCTCATTACCAGGTCCCTCGGAGAGGACCTATAGCCATCGGTCCTCTGGTTGCTCACTAACAAGCATTTATGCTTTCTTAGCAGTCAGGTAAAATAACCACCACTACAATATACTACATGTAAGTACATGTACATGATTGCAGATGTTGTTATAAAAAATCTTGACTTAACAAGAACATGGAGCCTGCACTGTTTTTATGCAACCTTTGGGAGCTTTTTTTCAGGAATTTCAGGTTCTGTATTTTTTGTAGAACGCTCAGTCCCGTTTGTGAATTCTTTAAAGATGTAAATATGCAATATCCAATATTATTAAGGGATTTTAATCTGTTGTCATAGAATTCTAAATTAATTATGATTAGAAAATTGTAAATAATGTTGATTTTTTGTATAGAAATTACCATTGCTAATTCAATGTTTTAATCTACATCATAGCCCCCTGTTTATAATGGCCAGTTTTGTATTTCCTTTCAAGGGTAATCATGTACCGTAGTTTTAAACCTGTACAGAAAGGTTCAAACCAGTTTAACCTAAACCTAAAATATTAGGTGCCCATATGTTCCGGGACTTGTGTTGCGCCCAGTCTAAAATCACAACAAGTGATTATTTTGTCCGTCTAGATAAACCCCAATTGTCCACAAAGGCCAATATTTTTTTGTGTAAATTTGCCAAATTTGAATGAGTTTGTTTAATTTGAGTGATTTTATCGCTTGAAAATATGAATCACATTGCACAAATAGTTTGATAATAGTGTTCAGGTTCTTGTTTGAGTAATGTAAGAAGTAAGTACTGGGCCTTTTGCAAATAGTGTTATTTCTTATTTTCTTTCTAAGTAATCTCTTCCGTTTGCTATTATCTGTTATGTGTGTGTGCATTGAGGATCAGTATCTATAGGATCCATATTACTGTTGGTTATCAAGTGGGTATGTAATTGTGAAATCTTAGGTGATGGTGTTTGGGATTTTTGTAGAATTATGTTTTCTACTTCTAGGTGAGGTGTAATCTCTATAGTAATATATATTTGTTTATCTATTACAGTCAAACCTGCTTTAGTGACCACCTGTCTGCAAAGACCACATTTGTTGTTTCCTTTGAAAATGGTTTCTCATTGAATCATGTACTAAAGGAACCTGTCTACAAGGGCCACTTTTGTGTTTCCCTTGGGTGGTTGCTATAGACAGGTTTGACTGTATTTCATAATATGTTATAGGGATCCTTTTCTATTTTACCTTTGGATATGCTAAATTAACATAAAAGTGTATATGAGCCTGGTTCTGATTTATGTGGCGTTTTGTAATTTTCTGTTGTATTGTTTCCCGGTAAGATTGCTATAGGTCTGGGTTTTTTTTTTCTGTTGCACTTTTGGATATCTAAAAACTCCCAATATTATCAAGTGAATATGTACTATGGTTTGGTATGGCATTGTGTTGACCATCATTCTCCATTTACATTATGGTATTGTTGTTATTTATTGGTTGAATCATATTTTTTGTAGATTTTTGGAGTATTGTTTGTTGCAGGTGAGCTGAATTCATGTTTGTTGTCTGTTACGTAATATCTTCGTGTTTTGAGGATCAGTTTCTGTTGTTCTATTTGGATAGTTAAAAATTCCAAATTCTATGTTGTCATTTTGTGTAATTCAGACTTTTGGGGCAATTTGTGGATTTCTATAGTTCTTTAGTTTCCATGTAAAGTAGTAATTCTTGTTTGTTAGTATCTGTTATGTACATCATTTTGTGTGTGTTATAAGGATCAACTTCTTTTTTGCTTTTTTGATATCTAAAAATCCCATTTACTTTTAGCCAAATCCAAGATATTTGATTTCTTTTTTTTCATTCCTTGTATTACCATGTACTGTAACATGTGTTCTTATCCAAGCCAAGCCTCATGGCAGCACATTTAAAGGGAAATCCAACCTTTATAGCAAACTATTATAGAGGGATGCAGAAAAATCAGAAAAGTAGACTGGTGAAAGTTTGAATGAAATTGGACCAAAACAATGATAAACTAATGAATTTTGTAAAGTTGTAATTACTATACATGTAGATATGGGTTCCTTAAAATTAACTGTATCAGTCATGTCTCTGCCATGCAGTGTCGGACAACTTTTCAATTTGTTTTAACACTCAAAATACATAAAAGTTCAATAAAAAAAATTTTGACTCTAGGAAGGTCTATTCTCTTGAGAGGACCTATAACAATAATCTATCCATAATATATTTTGAGTAATGCCCCAAGGGAGAAGGCACTTAGGACAAAAATGAGAAATGAATTATGTTTTTGTACACAACAAACCCGAGAGTTATCTGCAACCACGTCACAATCCACCAATCAAATTGCCAATTTGAGATTGGCATATACTTTAATATTGATCTCATACGTTAAACATTCATAACTTTCTTATTATTGGTCCAGTTTATTTCAAATTTTTGCCATGCTATTTATCCTATTTGTTTACTTTCATACAAATGAAATTAATTCAAGGGTTGGATTACACTTTAACATTTGACTTGAAACTTATGTTTTTTCCTTTTACATTCCTGTGATGCTTAGCTCATATTATTCATTATATTCTAAAGAGTAAGTGTGCTAAAAATCTCATCAAAATTTGAGCAAGAACAATGTAATTTTCACAAGAAACAGCAGTCGTGTCATTTTAACATTGCAACAAAAATCTCCCATGTTCAATTAGGCCACACTCGATAACGGTTAACCACCTGTCAGTGACCATGTAGGGAAATCTAATCCCTCGAGGCCAAACTGGTGCGGTGGGGCTCAAATATTTTTGTCTTATATCTGCATTGATACATATTAATTAACAGAGACAAAGTTTTTTTTATTCACTGCATGTTTTGTTTTATTAGAATTGTGCCACTTTACACATATGGTCAGACGAGGGCGCTATGCAGACATAGCCTCTCTAGCCATACAATCACAGGGTATATTGAAATCTTTGATGTAGTTGGTTAAATCAATAGGATTGTATACCTATGGCTTGCTCTTGTTATTGTCAGGTATACAACTATTGACTGCTGTGAGGTGCATGGTGAAAACTATTGCCCATGGTGATCTCCAAACTGTACCGTTCCACATGACGAAGTCGAGGGTCATAGTGCAGTCTCGAGGTCACCTGGAAGCTATAGTTTTAACCAAGAGCTGTGGAGTAAGCAGTCAATATTTGTGTTATAAATCGTATCTGCAGTGTCAATCCCTCAAAAAGAGATATTTTAATAACATATACCTGACAAAATGTATGTATTTGTGACGTCTAGGAAAAATTCACCAGTCTAAGAGAATTGCACTTTATCACTGCACATATTCCCTGTTCACTTCACGCAAAATTATTTTGTTGTTGCCCGGTCAATATTTTGTCGCTATACTGCCCAGCAGTCGGTAGCAAAATTCATGCGGTCAGTTATGACCAATCAGAGGCCTAGAATCTTAACATGTGCTAATTGGTGTCTTGTGTGAAAAGAAAATAATTATTTATTTCTTTGAGCGCATTATGTAAACATGTACCTGAATGAGGGAAAATGACATAATGAGCTACATATTTCTCTATTTGTAACAAACATTTCACCCGTTGTTTGCATTAATGGTGTAATGATCATTTTGTCTTCTTATCCTTTGGTCTAATGACCAATTAGGCTAATTGTCATTTGGTCTTATCTCCAATAAGTCTTCTAACCTTTCGGTCTATTGCTCACTTTGTCTTATTTCCATTCGGTCTAATTCCCAGTTTGTCTATTGCCAAATGGGAAGTAGACTTATTGGAGATTGGACCAAATGGAAATTAGATGTTCTAAGTGGGATTCTGTGCTATGGGCATTTTTTGTTGTTGCATTTATTCAATTTGAATTTTATTCCCCTTTTATTTCATTGAAAACTAAACGAGCTCTTCTTGTGATCATCTAATGATGGACAAACAGAGAACATTTATTCCATTGTCATATCACAAGACTTCA